TAAGAGTACGTCAAGTATTTGAGAGCTATTATGGAACTCCTTTCCTCCTTTATTCAGTTCAATCCACATCAAAACCTCATAAATGAAGAAGTCTTCAAGGATCTGTTCTACCAGGTTTGTCTGCTTCATAAACTTCTGCCAGAAAAACTACACCAGCTGGAAATGGCAGCCGGGAACCACACACCATACAGCCAGTTCAGCTGTCCTGGAAAAAAGATTCTGATGTAGGCAAGTTTTGCCAACAGGAAAAGCATTTATGTTGGCTTTACTAACACCACAGACCCAAACAATGTATTTTTGCTGGCAGAAAGATTACTTCTGCTTTTCCAAGAGGGGGCTTTACTGGTCAAGCTGCAGTGACTTTTAGGTCAAAGCGGTTTGAAGGGCTCCATTCCCCAAATTTTTCGAATTGTCTTGGAAGCCAGTTACAACAAGTTAACTATCCATATTCTGATATGTCTCAAAGATTTCTGAAATAAGGTCTCCAAAAAACATTTTTGCCAACTAAAAATTGGCCCAAAGCTCTCTTTCTTTGTGTGTACACATATACAAAGCAAATAACTCACCAATCTCATAACCTCTGTCTCCATCGATGCAGTTCATTTTGGAGAAGCAATACTGAAGAGCCTGTTCTTAACAATTATACTTTAAACACAGTCACAGAAAAAATCTCGAGTTTCTTGCCCCTGGAAGCTCTCTTTCTAAGTCTCACATGCAAAAAGAAAACCAGAAGTGGTCTGCTCCTCTAGGGAATCACAGCATTTGATTTTCCTCCCATATGAGATGGCAGAATTTTTCTGCATATCAACAGAGGGTGGATGGATGCAGGGAAACTGACGAGAACTCGTATCTGGACTTCTAGGAAGGAAACGGTCTCTAATTGGACTGGGAGAGTCAAAGCTGAGCAACTGACCTGGTTGGCCAGGTACCAGAGGAAGGAAAATAAACCAGTAACTACTCTGAACTGTAAAACAGTAGTATGAGGTTTTATTCATTAGTGTGGGCTGTAAACTGAACCAATAGACTATGGGCCAGTAAATTACTGCCTGAGACAAACACGTGAAGAATAAATTTTTTTAAAAACACATACAAGTGCCTTCTTGACAGGACATGAAAACAGGACTGGAGGAAAGTGACAGTCCTAAGAGAAACAATAGTTTCCAAAACAGCAGGTGGAAAGGGGAAAGAAAAGAATATAAAAGGAGTCTGTTTCTTTAATTACTGTAATCATCAACAAATAAAACTGTTTAAAAACAAAAGAATATTATTTGATCTCAAATATCAGTAGATCATAATTGCAAAATGTAACGTAATACCCATTTCATATCACCAAACACACAGATAAGAGTGGGGGGCGGGGTGGGAGAGGGGAAGGAAAAAAGACTTGGAATCACGCAGCACACTTCACTTTGCCAAAACAATATTTCCCATTGCAAAATTCTGTAATAACTAAAAGTTCTATAAATAGTATCTAGCTTTTCATTCAAAGCCTTAGGCAACTGAACAACAAAAGCTTTAAGGTGCAACATTAGGTTGCTCAACTCTTCAAACCACAATTATTATCAAACATTACCTGAAAAACAAAAAAAAAATAGCTCTGGATTTTATTTTCTTTCAGGACTCACATAGTTAAGAAGCAGCTGTAAGATTATCTCCCAGAATACACTGCCACTCCAAAAATAAGATTTTGCAACAACTTGCAGACAGTCCTTCCGCCTCTCCTCACAGTACCATACCTCCCAACAGTACTATGCACAGACTTACCCTTCCAGAAATTTTCTGAAGATGAAAAATCCTGAAAATCCACTCACAAAACTACCTGAGCAATATCACCAATATATATGTTAAAATTACATTAATAATGAAAAATGAAGCTATTCCAACTGCCTATGTAAATATAATTCAGCCCCTTGTGTGAACACAGCACAGCTCTTAATTACTTGATCACCGACTTTTTACCCATGGGACACCTGCCTTATCCCACGCACAGACTGTGCCTTCCTCAAGGATGGAACACTGCCAGGAAATAAAAAAGACTCCTGCACAGATTCACCTGCCTTGGCTGCAGAACTGGGCAGGCATGCAGCGTAGGTTTACAAAGGAGAAGACTGGTCATACATGATCACTCCAGAAAGGCCAACATTTTACTTACTTGGTTTTAGACAGAAAGGGGCCAAGAAGTGACTCAGAGCCAGAGCACTTCTGATGAAAGCACAAAAAGGCCTCACAGACATAATGCATCCTTAACCCCAGCCAAGATCTTCTTTGAGTTCTAGGTATCCTTTTGATCAGCACTAGAGCATTAATGAGGAACTTTCTGTGCCCATAGATGTACAGAGCTTAAGAAGGAAGATACAAAGAAAACAGCAGTAAAAGATTCAAAGCAAATCTTTATGCAGAAATGAAAGGATACAATTGCTGGCACATCTCTAGATTCTTCTATACAATTCCTTTTTTTCCCCTCCCATTTCACCATGTGAAAATTCCGTAATTTGGAATCATAATCAAATCCACATCAGTCATCAACAGAGTTTAAATCTTTCAGTCGCCCACACTGTCATTTCATGAAAAACAGTTGGATGTCATGTTTTGTGGACTAGCCCTTAGAAGGAAACAAGACACTTGGCTTGTGGCTTTCACAGATTTTTGTTGATGGCTGAGGAATGGCAAGATTTAAGGATCTTGGATTTCATTCCACACATAAAAGGGAATTACATTCTAGGACAAAGTTTCTCAATCTGCGGTCTGTAAAACATCAGATGTCCAAAAAAAAATCATAAAAATGTATTTTTAAAACATACATTCCCACACATGCAAACAAGAAAAGATAATTGAGGAAATACAAAAAATAAAACAAATATTCAAAGTTTAGCCTAATTGAATTGCACCATAATGCATAAGAAAATGTGACATTTCACAAGATGATCCTTGCATTTTTTAAGGAAATTAAGTGTTCTTGAAACAACACATTGTCCTTTAACATTGAAGTCTGAAAATGCTTTTCTGTTCTACTGAATTTCCTGAGTAAGTCCTCTCCAGAAAATGCCTTGTTACATCCAACATTCCTCCCTTCATCCTACTTCCTTATGCAGTTACCTGTTTTCTCCATGTCCTGCTATGCTTTCTGTAGTTTCACTCTCTTTACAGATACCCCTTAAAGTCATCTACAGAAGCAACCCATACAGCCACTGAGCTCTTTCAGCCTATTTTCATTGACAAACTCTGCAGCAAAGTCTTCTAGTTCATCCTGAATTTCAGTTACCACTGTTGGAACATCCTTTATTTCACTGGTTCAGCTGCAGCAGTTTCCTTTCTTAGGACCCTCCTTGTACCTGTCACTTTTTTAAAAAAATCAGAGACACCTGGTCCACACACTATCTCTACTCCCTGGTTTAAGATCTGGATATTAGCTATCCAGCACCTAGTCTTTCACACTCCTCTTTTCAGGGCTAATTTCCCTTCTTAATGTCCACACATAAACACCCTTGCATCTTGTCTACAGTCAGCTGTGTATACATACACTAAGCTGCCATTTTTTAGCCAGGCAAACAGGCAACAACACTTATTTTAAACCTTAATACCAAAACAGCTCTGCAAAGTCAGCTAACAAAGAATACTGGAGAAGTACCTGGAACTCATACAGTATTAATAGCATACCTGAGATCCTCTCTCCTAAAATCAGTATTTCTGCTCTCATATTTCCTATATAACACTACCCTAAAATTCATGAATGCTACGTTAAAAAAGTAGTAAAAAAAGAAAGTTGATAACACATCTCAACTGATGGACAGCTTTTTCTATGAAATACATAACATCTAATTTGAAACTCCATTTACATGTGTTGCTCTGATGCTGCATTCTTCATCAGTTTAAAAACCACATCTTTTAAACTTTTTTCCTGATGATTATTATTAGTTACTGTTCTTTAAAACTTGTTAAGACATGATTTAACCTTTAAATTAAATATGCTGATTAATACATGCATATTTACCCTATTGATATCTATTAGTAAATGCTGAATTGATTACTCCCATTTTTCAAGACAACTTTTTTCACAAGTCTTCTAACTGACAAACTGTATCTGGATGAAAAAAAGTCTTATTAAAAGCAAACAAGAATTTTAAACTCTACTAAAAACATACTTCAGTACGTTACATATGTAAAAACTGGAAAAACTATTTCACATTTAAAACTGAATTAATTATGTTACATGTGGCTAGCAAGCTTAGTGACTACATAAATGATCGGAAAAGAAAGATTTCAGAACTGATCTCCTCCTCATATATTAGAAAGGAGAAACTGACTGACTTCTGTTTTCAGTTTCAAACAGATTTAAATTAAATTTGAACACAGTAAGAACTGGATGTGACATCTGAAAATAAGGAGACTATTCACTTGATCTCACAAAAGGCACGGTTGCTTCAATTGATTTTGATATGTTGACAAATTCTGTTTCTCAGTGTTTGGTAGTTGAGAGCTTTGTCTTCCTGAGCACTTTGGCAGGACACATGTACTGCTTGGTATGTGGGTTGGGGTGTGTGCTTTTTGTTTTGTTTTGTTTTAATCTGAGAATACATTCAGTGTGCAGTAACAGTCACATTCACAATGAATTTTATGTATGTTTCTTCAATTAAAAGTTAATTTTAATATGTTTAAAATATGGTTTATGGTTTTGATACAGCTTTCTACACAGCCTCCTTATATGGCCTCTAGCATTATTTGGTCCTCATTCTGAAGTACATGAAGACTTTCTAGGAGCTCAGTTAAATAATTTTCCACCACCATGAATAATTTATTACTTATTTTGAAATACTTTATGACACAGAAAGAATAAAACTGATCCTCAATTCTTGTTAGCAATTGAGGAAAGTCATATAAAAATGTTTCGTTTGCTACTGAGATGAATATATACAAAAGACATGTTTCCTTGGAATCTGGGCTTTTTTTGTGCATTATCAGATGACGATTTCCAGCTCCTCAGGAAAATTAAGGTTGCATACCAGCACAGAATATCCCTGGAACTTCACTCCGGAATATAACAGTACGTACTTTCTTATCAGATTTCAAAGCATCCACAGCTTTTGACATCTGCAGAGAAAAGGAGGAAGGGGAATAACCAAACACTTTTTGAAGTACTTCATTCCAATAGTTCACCTTTATACTAAAAACTGTTCTTTTCACTTACCATTTTTAAAAGATTTTTGTTAAGTGCATTCTTGGCATGAGATCTGTTTAATCCAAGCACCACAATTCCTGGAGGGGAAGAAAAAGTGTATCATTGTTACAATGTTGTAAAATATGTATTATGTGTGTAAATTACTATTTTGAAATTATAGAAAAAGCATCACTGAGGACTGAAAAAAGAAATGCTAGTGTAATCACTTAGTTAATGAGTATTTGAAAGAAAATAAATTGAATTACATTTTCCAATGTTAAACATTCCAATGTTCAACAGAAATTACATTTATTTTAAGTATGAAAATATGGCCCTAACACCTTCACATGGAAACAGTGCTTACAAAGGCTGAATGTATAATTATGCAATTGCATGCACAAATTTCATGTTTGCGTGAGAAGTGCTGATGTGCAATCAGGAAAGATACTTAATTGTAAAGCATATGTTTCCACATTTAGACAGCCTGCCTTCAGAGACTTCTTAAAGCAAAAAGTGTTACTACAGCTAAGACTAGCAACTCTGATACAGGTAAAAGGAAGTCACAAACACAGAACAAATGTTATCAACAGGAAACCTGAACTTTCATTTAAAGAGAAAGAAATGATATCAAAATTCTCCCCTCAAGACACAAAAACTGTGCTCAATGCTCAGTGCACAGCTCCAATCACACATTCGGAGCTCCCTTAGTCCCACTAGAGATCAATTGTCTCACTGACTTATTAGATGTGCGTTGGTTTGAATGTTGCAGCAGAAATACCATTTGTTTGTTCTTATTTCGCTCCCCTCAGCTTAACAGGCATGTTTATCAAACAGGAAAATTCTGAGAAGTTTATCTTGGTAATGTCTACATTTACCAAGCCTGTAACAGTCTTTTGGACAGTTACTTCCTGAACACACTAGAATTCCCTGAACTATAAACACAGTCCTATTAAATTGATCCAGCCCTAGTAAAGTCTTATCAATTGAGACTTTTTTTTTTTTTTTTGGAGAATGCAGGGTTAAGGAGAGAAAAGCAAAGGACTAGGACAGAGACCAGAAATTAAAGACAAAAAGGGAGTGCCCTATCTCAAATAAAAATGCCCACAGTATTGTCATCAGTCTACAAGGTGAAAAAATAAATTCCAGAAACTCAGTATTTGCCTGGGTATTTACTACTTCACCACTCAGCTTTGCACGTCTCATGGCCTCCACAGGGTGCCTGTCATGCCATCTCAGCACATATTACTTCTTTTATTTCAGAGAAACCTGTCCTCCCAAAGGACTGACCTTGAGTCCACTCCCCTTTCTCTTCTTCCTCCTGCATGTATGTGCACATGCATGCACACAAGATGAAAGAGAGCTCCTCCTCCTTCTGCAGCTATCAGTTTGAAACCAAGGTCCTCCATTCGCTAGCTACCACTCTCAAGATGCAAATAAAAATGTTTAAACCCAAGCAGGAGAGCATACATGCCTCTTGCTAGCTCCCAAGGTACAATCCATTGCTATGTATAGATACCTCCTACAAGGGGAGAAGAGCCTGGCTAACCCAAATGACCTTCACTCCCTTGCTCTGTAAGCCTGAATTCCCACCTGTTCATCATGGTTGGAGGAATTCATCTAGGACCTCCTGAAAGGGTCCTTATTCAACCCTTAGACAGGAATCTGTTTATTTTCTGTTAGGCAAATGGAGAAACATTCAAGTAGTGCACCTGACTGTAGCACTTTTCTTCTACTGTCACAACTTACTCTTCAGGAGGATGACTCCAAATTCAAATACTCCACACGTTCAATTGGGCAAAAGCAGGACCACACATTAAAGCAATAAAAAGACACTTGACCTGGCTTTGATTTTAAACTCTAAGGCGCATTGCAAATCCGATGTTTGAATAAACTAGAAATGCTCTCATCCCAAACTATTCTTCAGTTAGGAAATAAAAGTCCTTTCCAGAAGCATGTTTTTTTCAACAGCAATAACACTTTTTAATTACACTTGTAGTTTTCTTCTTCCCATCAGAGCCGAAAGACCGCTGCTCCATCACCAATATTGGTGTGTTCAGAAGCAAGTTCCAATTAATATATAAGCACATTTAATATTTTTCCCATGATGTGATGATCCTTGAAGACAAATCACACAAGTTGATTCTTCTTAGCAGTGTCATATCAAGTCATAAATCTACCACTTCTGCCTCCCTCTCCAGAAAAATAAGAGGTAAATTCAAATGACACCCACACAGCTGTTCTATTTCTTAAATAAAAAAAAAAAAGATGAAGCAAGAGCTGCAACAGGAAAAGCATAGAAGGTTTACAATAGGAAACAATATATAGCAGGGATGTATACAAAAACACATTCCTTGAATTCTCGTTTGAGTCAGTTTTGTTCTAATATGCCATTCCTATGGGTTTTCTTAAAACAAATTCTTAGGGTTTTCTAATACCACAGTTAAGATTTGGGAAGTTTTCCCAATGTATTAATCAGTGACCAAACTACAGATAGATTAAGTACCTGCTCGGTCACAAAACAGAAACTGAAAAATAATTTCCTTGATTTCCAGATGAGAACTTAATCCTTCTCCCTTCCCCAGCCCACCCCAAGAATCTCCTGGCAAAAATTGTTTAAGGTAAGTCATCCCTGTTTTGCACATTCAAGAATTAAACCCCTGCTCAGATGGGTGTATCAATTTTAGATGGGATATATTTCCCTAACCAGGGCAAAAAGGACTAATCAGGCTCCAAGTAATACTACAGAGCCCAACCAACCCAATTATAAAGAAAGGAAAAAGAAATAAAAAGTGCAAAATGTTCAGACAATACTGTCATACAGGTAACCATTCTGACAAATATTATTAGTCATACAGAAAACCTGATAATTTTTTATCTATTTTAAAATACCTGTTGCATCATCATCTGAAGCATTTAAGCATGGTTTATTCTTCCTAAAGCACCCATGTTACAGGTGTGCTTTCCAAATTTTTTTTTTTTAAATTGTTTGAAAAAACTATTTATAAAAGAAAAAAAATTAAGTCATCATCATGTTTATCAAGTATCAGTAGAAATAACGCTAATAATAAAATTCCATTATCTGTATGATATCAAAAAAAGTGGCAGATATACTAAGGAGTAAGAAGGAATAAGCATTCACATAATGCTAAACTCAGCATTAATTTCACAGCTTTTCCTGGAAATCATCTCCACATTATTTACGAACACTCTTCAGGAAATAATGTGCAACTATTAAAAATTACATCCACATATTAAAAACTAACTTTTACCCTATTAGCTAGGCTTTCCAAGGGACTAGGATGATTCCCAATGCTAATATAAGCAGTCATATCCCTGCGCACTTCTTGCCTAACCAATCGTCAGAGGGAAAGCATATGCAAATGTACAATATGTTCTCTGCTTGCAAGTTACCTTTGTCAAAATAAAAAGTTTATAAGCTTTATATATATGACTTACATACAGTTTTCTCTTAAACATTAAGAATTATATCACAAACTATATGAAAGTCACATATAATAGAAACAAAAAATGTCTTTTAGTGAGATAAAGATACATACGTATAAGAAAGATAGCTTCAAAATACCTGTAAATTCCCAGAAACATCTCCATTTCACAGTGTACACTAAATTTGAGATTTGCATATAAGTAGTTCACACTGAAAGGTTCTCGTATTCTAAGAGTGATAGCAAAAAATATATGGTGCTATCATTATTTAAAACTGCTGAGAGAGAAGATCATATTTCTTTTTATACTGTACAAAAAAGGGTAGACCAATTTAAGTGAAGTGATTAAATCATGGTTTAACTACAGTTTGTATCAGCACATAGGAAATCTTACTTTAAATAATGATTTGTATCTGCTTTATCTTGTACTTTTTAGTTTTCAAAAAATTTTCATCCTCGATGTTTGGTGGAAACATGTATTAATAGGTTACTTACAAATAAATCCTGTCTGTACACTCATATTAGTAATTTTGCCTGAGTTAGAAAGATTCACTACATGTGTATAGGAAGTACTTATGGAAATAATTTATTTGTATTAAGTATACACACTCACACAAATGATCTAGCCAAACGTACTTTTCCATAACTAAAAAAAACCCAAAAATGAATTATGCACTGAAAAAGGGAGGGAAGATCAAAGAGAATTAACTTACTTTGAAGCCTGTCTCACTTAACTACTCAGATAAACCAAAGCAGAGAAGTTGACTTAGATGTTTATTACTCTAGAATAGTTTTGTAAGCAAAACAAGAATGTATGGTGAGTGTATCATGCCCAATTCTGGTGGTTTCCATTGATCACCTTATCAAGAAGTATTTAAGTGCAAAATCATACAGATGTGTACTAGGCAGTATTTTTAAAAAACACAAAACCACTTTTCAAAATCCTGTATCTGCACCTTTTTTATCTCTAAAGACCCCTTAAAAATCTCACCTGCACTTCTTCAATTAGTAGATCTCATCTGCTCAACCCTGCTTTATTTGAAGAGAGCAAAAGGGAAAGCTTTTCTGATTTATCAGCTAGCTATCAGTTTCCAACCCCTGAACAAACAACTTCAACTGAGGCCATATTTGTTCTGCCTATTCTATGTATATTAAAATTCTAACTGATGAGGACAAAAAGATGTCTTACATATTCTAACTGAACTAAAACCAGCTGAAAAATATAAGCACAAAGAGCTGTTCTAGTGTAAATTATAAAATTTTACAAATATTTATACCACATTCCAGCAAGTGACACTGCAACACTTGAGTCAAGACCACAGAGAGATTTCTCCTAATTCCATCTGTAACTTAAAGAGCAAAAGCCCTAAGTTCATTAAAATTTGTAATGGGATCCCTAATGCAATTTGGCTAAAAGTTCTCAAACATTAACAGTTGTAGTGTACTTCAGCCCTAGTGATAATCAAATAGAATCTCAAGTAAAAGATATGTATTTAATTAAAAAATACTAATGCACTGACATTCAGCTATACTCACAGAAGACTGACACTAAAAGCTTCATGAGTTGCAACATGCTGTTCCAAATACCCAGGCATTTTACAATCACATTCTTCAGAAATCTCACATCTTTTGTTGTCTGGTTCAGTTCAATTTTGGAAGGTGGAAAGTCTTAAATTAAAATCTCAATAACTAGCCCTTTCAAATACAGTCTCATTTCAGTTTGCATTTAACAAGTTCCCAAAAACTGCCGTATACCAATCACGTGAAAGTGTTCTGAAGCAGGACAATTTGCTGCTTTGCCTGCAGGGAAAGGTTTGTCTAGAGCTACAAGATTTATGCCTCTACATGAGCCAGTTACTGTCAGTTTTCCCATGTCCCCAGCATCCTCAGCTGTAAAAGCCCCTGGACAATGCATCCTTCTCCAAGTAGTGTGGAAAGACTTGGCATGGACAAAGGCATAACCACAGCATAAACAAGCATGTGTGTGCCATAAAAGGTAGTCAGAGGGACAGGGTTTGTCCCCTCTCTGTAGTCAAGAAGTATGTAATGGAAGAACATGATGAGGCAATGGCACCGGAGTACCACTTGGGAAGGCCTAGAACACGAACTGGTGGAAAAAGGAATAGCAGGTTAGAGAAGAGCAAGAAAGATCAAAGGGGCTTATATGGAGTTAGTGTCCTAACACAGGAGGGTATTGCATGCTGTCAGCAGATAAAGATAGATGAACTTGACACACAAGGTGACGAGGAGGGTGTGCAGTAGCAGCCCTCCCCAGCAGTGGGGAGGAAGCAGAGACATGCTTCTTTCGCAGAAACACAGTCTGCTCTATGTGCTGCTGAAAGAGGCATATGAAGCTTATGTCTCCTTCTGGCTTACTTCCAGACCCTTGTTCTTACCCTTTATTAACAAACTACATTTTATTAATAAACACATATGTCCTTCAGAAAGGTAAGGCTGAAGAAAATACCTTCTCCTGAAGAGAATTCATTAATTAAAAATACATTGATTGAATCTTTCCTTACCATAGCCACAGCTGATTTAACACTCCAAATGTTATCTCCATGTTTTGGAGCATTTTTAATGCCACAATTTAACAAAGATGTATATTCTGAGAAGAAAAGGAAAAACAACTTCAAAAAGATTTTTTCAACAGAAAAGAATAAAAACAGGTGGGCTATTGACATGCAAAACTTTAGCCGTCTCTGCACCTTTTCTTCAAAAACCTCCTTCAAATCTCTGCACAATCAAACTTATAGTATCTGCATCAAAAACATTCAGCAATGAACTTAGGGTAGATACACAGTACAAAACACCTTCATAACATTATAAAAGCAATTATTCCTAGCTGATTCAACAGCTGGAAAACAGTAGGTAATTTTATTGCTTGTTGTGTGATAGCAGAAATAAAAATGATGGTCTTCAGTAGTACTCAAGTGTCTTCTACCACTTGCTGGAAAAGTACAAAACAAACAAGCAAAAACACTCCTCCAACATTTTACAAACTCTTCTTTGCTCCTGCCTTGCCTATTCATCAATTTAAAAATAACATTAAAAAAATCAAAATAGATGTTTAAAACTCATTCCGAGTTCCACAGTTGGAACTGGAAAGAGTTGGGAGCAGAACAATCCCTAAGACAGAAGTGGATTTCAGGATCGGATTACATCATTGGCTTTACTGACCCTTAACAGTGACAGAAAAACATGCCCTGAGATGAAAGCAGAACCTCCGTTTTCCTTTGAAAAAGAATCATCTTCTAAGCCTCATGCTAAAGTTTTTAAGTTACATATACAGAGGTATATGTATACAAATCTATACATATGCATACTCAACTCACAGGCGTTTGCCTGAATTTGCAGCAAGTCTGAAATAACCAAGTTAACATGCTGAAAGACATCAACTGAATTGTGCATCTCAGCATATGGTTATTCCAAGACATACTATCCACATAAAGAGATCTGTGCACTGCAGATGAATACACCTCCACACTAGGGACCTCTCCATAAAAGTAGGTGTAACATCGTGGCTCTAAAAATAAATCCTCAGGAATGGAGCTTGCACTTACTGTCTCTCCACCATTCCCAGCCCTGCTGCACCCAAATGGGAAGTGAGAACACCAAAGGAGGTGAAACACCTCCAAAAGAAGAACACCTCCAAAATCTGGTGAGCACCAAACCAGAACAGAAAGTACAGAGTGTCCGTGTTGTGATGCATTGGCTCCAGATCGCTCTGGAGCACAGATTTTCCTTCTTTGTTTAACCAGGTGGGTTAAAACAAGGCTCTTGGTGTAGTTGAGTAGAACAAGGTCAGCAGCAGTTGACAGTGCTAAAGGCAAGAAGGGTGGGATGGTTACTAGGAAAGCAGCACGAGATGAGCAAGAGTGCTGGAGCCACACTTTCCAGAACAGAAAACGCCGGTACAACTTCTGTGTCCGTGCCTGCCCCTGCACACAAGCACATCATAGGTGTGGGAAGCAGCGCTGTTGTAGCAGTTTGCTGCTAAACTTCATTTTCTCCCATTAAAGTGGCCAACAGATGCCAACTCAGAAGGGTGTACCTCGCGCATGCAGCGCAGTACTCTGAAAAAGAAAAGCCAAGAGAGACCATGCTGACGCAGCTCTGCAACTGCCAGCACCGGCCGAGGTGCCGAGGAGGAGGAGC